GGGATTCTATTACGTGGTCAATAGAAGAAAGCCGAATCCATAGAAGGAGCACCAAAAAAATATTGTTCACAACGGTGTGTATCCCACCCCTCCCCCTCTCAGAGCGATTTGTCATGAGTTTAAGAGCTGGGGAAAGTATAAAAAATAAAATAAATATCTCACAAACATTTGATCAGATAAACATGAAAAATTCTTGAACAAAAACAAAGCACTGGAGAAGGGTAAAGAGGAAGAGGCAATCATCGTTTGACCTGGATGTTGAACGTTTGAACACCTGAAGCTGCCTCTTGCTGATCCAGCCCCTCGGTCCATCGAGGTCAGCATTGTCTATTTAGACTGGCAGCAGCTTCCCAGTGTCTCGAGAGAAGACATTTCACATAACTCGATTCTTCTTATCGGAGACACTGGGGATTGAACCTAGGACTACTCTGCCAATGCGCCACCGCTCCTTTCAGAAGCAAAGGCGGGGAGAAATAGAACTCAGCCCACGGCAAAAAAAACCAAACTTCACACCCACTCTTGTGTTCAGGCATGTCCATACACGGCCAGACCTAACAGCCTTTTTGCCAAATATATTAAGTCAATTTGAATGTTTGCTTTTTCTGACAAAGAATCAAAACTGAATTCACACCGTTGCTGATAGTAATCACTAAACGATTCATGTAGGTACATTAAGTGCCGGTCGTGTCACAACCCACTTATGGTGACCCCAACAAGTGCTTTTCAACGCAAGCAAGAAGCAGAGGTAGTTTGCCATTGCTTTCCTCTGCAGAGCTTTCCTTGGTGGTCTCCCATTTAATCTACTTTTTTTTTTTGGACAACATTAAACTCGGGATATATCAGGCACAGTCCATCCCCCCTGTTGTATGCATTTTCACTCTGCAAACGTGTGAAATACTTTCTCCCTGCATCCTATCAAGCTTTTCATCTGATGGCAGCTTCTGTCAGAAGAAAAGCACACGAGATGCCCTCCGTGGCATGAGCTGCCTGAAGCAACCACAACCTGGTAGGTCTTCATTTAAATTGGAAATGATTTTTAAAACATTTTCCTCCCTAAGGCCAGTCCATGAATTGCTGTGCAGTGGAAGGTGGGTACACATTCTTTCCCTCCCCATGGCAGTGGAAAGTGCCATCTGTTCACAGCTGACTTTCGGCCACCCTGAAGGGCTTGCAAGGCAAGAGATGAAGTGCTTTTGCCATCGCCAGACTATGTGTAGCAGCCCTGGACTTCCTTGATGATCCACCATCCAAATACTAACCAGGGCCAACCCCGCTTAGCTTCCAAGATTGGATGAGTTTGAGCTGGCCTGGGCCACCCAGGTCAGGCCTCCTTCACCATCGGCATCCTGAAATGTGAAACCACTCATACGTCCATACAAATGACGATCCAGTTTGCATGATTTGTCCCTCTAAAGAAAGGGGGGGGGAGATCATTTGGTTCCCACACTGCAGAAGGAGGATCACATAGCCCCCCCCCCAGTCAAAAAAGCCCATCTGCAGCCCGGTGATTGAATCACTTTAACTTAGCAGTCCTGGAAGAGCTGACGTCATCAAGCCAAACCGAAAGTGAATGCCGTCCGGAACACGTCTGAAGCCTACAGCTGAACAAAATCCCCGTCGGCTGCAAACGTGTGCGATTTAAAGAATTATATGTTGTCCTCCCTTACCCCCTATGAATCATTGTTAGTCCCTTGTGAAAAACTTGTGTAAATCGCTCAGAGCCAGCAGCTCTGCAGGATTGAGCGATCAATAAATCGAAAGATATTATTATTATTATTATTAGGAATTAAACTTTTGCTCATCCAACAAACGATTAGCCCCAATAGCTTTCTTCAACACACCATCAAAATAAGAAGGAGCAATCCACTCACAGCTTTCTGTGGCCTGTCTAAAGGGTCCCCTTGGTCTTGAAATCAAAGCACTTTCTACCAAAACGAGTGGGTGAAATCCTGATTATTTTTCCAGAGATGGAAGATCCCTGTTTTAATTACTGAAAACCAGTCATCGTCCCCAGAAAACCTCACGCAAAAATACACTTGATAAAAGAGCAAAACAAACAAACAAACATATAAATACTATACATAGGCAAAACAACCCACAATTTATGTAAAGGGGGACTATCAGGTTACCACTCGGCCTGTGCCCCTGACTGGAGGTTCTTCATGGTGAGGATTCTTCTGACCAGCACTCAGGGACATTGCTGGCTGCATTAGGAGAAGGGACCTCAGAGTCTTCAATGAGCGTCAGTTCTTCCATGCTTTCCAAACTTGGAGTCTGCTGGAACAGCCCAAGTATCCGTCCCCGAGGAGCCACCCCTGTCTGCTGCAGGCCTTGGTCTCCCAGCACCTTGACGAGGAAGTTGATGTACCTCATGGCTAAGCGGAGGGTCTCGTTCTTGCTGAGTTTCTTGTCTGGAGGATGGGTGGGGATAAGCTTCCGCAGCTTAGCGAAGGCACTGTTGACGTTCTGTTGCCTCCATCGCTCCCTGCTGTTGGTGAAGATCTTTCTAGTCATTGTTAAAACACCAGCAGAACTAGAGACGGGGAAAATAACGACAGAGATGAATAAAGGAATGACTGAGCAGTGCCATCAGAAAGAAGACCCTCCCCCCTATGCCCCTGATTTATATGGTTACTGGCAGAGCAACCAAAAGGAATTTCCTGGTCTGAAACAACATTCACACACATGCAGATAAGAGTCCAAGAAGCTTGATTCCATCTATTTATTTTTATATAGATATTTATACCCCACTTTTCTCCTCAGTGGGGACTGAAAGTGGCTTACAACATTGTTCTTCCCACCTCCATTTTACCTTCACAACACAATCCTGTGACATACATTAGACTGAGAGAGGGTGACTGGCCCAAAGGCACTCAGACAGTTCCTATGACAGAGCAAGAATTCGAAGGTAACAGCGTTCCGTGCACCTTGGTGTTTAGTCATGCCGGCCACATGACCACGAAAATGTCTTTGGACAGCGCTGGCTCTCTGGCTTGGAAACGGAGATGAGCACCGCCCCCTAGAGTCGGATTTGACTAGCTTTCGAGGAAGGGAAACCTTTACCTTATATATACAAGCAGGCAATGGCAAACCACCTCTGTAATGCCTCTTGCCTTGAAAACTCTCTGGGGTTTCCATAAGTCATCTGTGACTTGACGGCAAATATATATGTATGAATGTGTGAACTAACCATTTTTTTAATATAATTAATTTTTATTGGTTTTTAGCAAGCTTCAGTACATACATTTCACAATATTTTAAGAACATAAGAACATAAGAGATGCCAATGTTGGATCAGGCCAAAGGTCCATCCAGTCCAACACTCTGTATCACACAGTGGCCAGAAATACCAGTGCCATCAGAAGGTCCACCAGTGGGGCCAGAACATTAGAAGCCCTCCCACTGTTGACCCCCCCAAGCACCAAGAAGACAGAGCATCACTTGCCCCAGAGCCCCTATCTATACCTTGTGGCTAAGAGCCACTGATGGACCTCTGCTCCATATGCTTATCTAATTCCCTTTTGAAGCCGTCCATGCTTGTAGCCGCCACCACTTCCTGTGGCACTGAATTCCATGTGTTAATCACTCTTTGGGTGAAGAAGTACTTCCTCTTATCCGTTTTCAAACAGTACACAATAGTTTCATTATCTCAAGGGCAATTTGGCACCAGTACTCCAAACTATGCAATAGGGTGAGACACGCCTAATTATGGGAGAGTGGGCAAACAGGGCAGGCCTGCAGCTTACGGGCCCAGACCCACAGGCCATTCCTGGGTCTGCATGAATTCCTTTTGGGGGAAAAAATGTTTTTTAAAAAAACATGGCTGTGGTGATGCAGTTGGCACCAGCAAGAGAGTGGAGATGGGGCTTTCGACCTACTCAGGTTTTGACCTGCTTGTGTGTTTGTGTGTGTGTGTATATACACTCGTGCATCACCACAGCCACATTTAAAAAGCAATGCAGACCCAGGGATGGCTTGTGGGTCTGGGCCCATAAGCTGCAGGTCTGCTCTTTTTGCCCGCTCTTCAGTAATTAGGCCTGTCTCACCCAATTGCACAGTTTGGAGTACTGGTGCCAAATTGCCCTTGAGATAATGAAACATGGTTAGTTCACACATTCATAAGGACCACTGCTTCCAACAGGGTATTTCCAAATCCCCACATAGAATGAACGTTTATCCTTCCCCTGCCTCCTAGGTGCCTCTGAGCCTGCCAAAATTCTCTTCCTGTGTGCAAACAGGGGGGAGGGGGTCTGCAGTGAGACACAGTTTGCCAACTCCTGGTCGGGACATTCCTGGAGATCTGGGGGTGGGGCTTGGAGAGGGGTGAGACCTCAGAGGGAGGTAATTCCACAGAGTCCACCCTCCAAAGCAGCCATTTCAGCCAGGGGAACTGATCTCTGTATTCTCCACTATAATTCCGAAAGCTCTCCAGGCCCCACCTGGAAACTGGCAACCCTAAGTAGTAGTAGGAAATTAGCAAAGATTGTGACCAATGTTCTCTCTAAGCTGTGGAGTCTTGTGAGCAAAAATTCAACTTTGTGAGCTACTGGCATTAAAGTTGTGTAAGCGATTTGGCTACTGCATAAATCAGTACACGTTGGAGCCATCTTTCCTGAGCTAAGAAAAAAATGTGTGAACTGGAGGCTAAAAAACTGTGAGCTAGCTCACACTAACTCACCTTAGAGGGAACACTGATTGTGACCCTGTTCACTGCAATCATAAGTGTTCTCCTAAATACAGAACAGCACCTTTGGATCCAACCCTACGTTCTTAATTGCTGGCAGCCAGCCAACACAGTGGGGAACTGACTTTGATTAATGTGTAGTGCGGGACATCTGTGGAAATTTGGGGTCCCCCCTGCAAAAATCCTTTGTAAGGTAACATCATCACCGAGAGCTCTAAGTTCTAATGAATGCTTCCAGGGGTCTTGTTGTAGAAAAAGAGCTGCCGGAGCTCATTAGCATAACTCATTAGCATAACTTATTTGCATATGCCACGCCCCCTGACATCACCGGAAGTGACAGAAGGCCACACCCCCTGACATCACCGGAAGTGTGTCAGAAGGCCCGGCTACTTACCCTCCTGCTTCATCCTCATTCCCAAACGGAATGAGGATCGAAGCAGAGGGCGGGGTAAAGAAGGGGGCGGGGCTTCACCACGTGACCGCCCCGCCCCCTAGAGGTTCTCTTCCGGAGCTCCGTACCTGAGAGCTCCCCCCCGACTAGAGCCCTGAATGCTTCTAACAGTAACAAATTATGTAGCATCCTAGCTGAAGGGAAACGCCTGGAACTAACAAAGGTACCTGAAGAAGTGTGCTTGCACACAAAAGGTTATACCCAGAATTAAACTTAGTTGGTCTTAAAGGTGCCACTGGACTCAAACTCTGTTCTAACACAGATATACTCATTTTACTCAGGCAAGCTTTGGCAGAGCTTTCTGTGTGTATGAAAAAGCAAAAGAAAAATGTAAAAAATAAAATAAGATAACTGAAATCCAGGGAAGCAATACAACTCTAGCATCTTGAAATGCTCCCTGAACAAAAGGTCATTGGTTATCCATTAGCAGATCACTTCAGCATGATCAGCAATATTTGTGTAAGGACTGCCACAGCTGGCCCTCTTCCTTTCTTTCCTTCTCCGCTTTTGTCAACACAAGTCCTGAGAGCAAATAGCCCTCTTTGTGAGTTCCTATTAGGTGGCATGTTAAAAAATGTATCCTTGTGTCTCTGACATTTGTACAAGATCAGCAAACAGGAGCAGCCCCTACCCTTTTTGGCGGGCGAATGTTTGATGTTTCACTAGGGTGAAAAAACCTATTTATGGAAAACTCCAGATCCTTTGTATGTTTACTCAGAAGTAAGACCCATTGTATTCAGTGGACTTACTCCCAAGTAAGTACGTACAGACTGCAGTACAGGTCTATTTATTACACTTTAAGATTTCTCTTTCCTGCTTGCTCACAGTACATATTTCATAGCAGATTAGGCTTGCCAAGTCCCCCTGGGGGGCGGGGAAACCCCCGCCCCAGAGGCCTGTTCCCTGCCGCCAGCGGATCGGGCCCCGAGGGGAGCCCTACCCCGGCGTGCGCATCACCAGGAAGTGACGTTATGACGCCGGGCACGCTGGGGGCGGGGCCACGGTCATCCGAGGGAAAACTCTATGGTTTTCCCTTGGATGGTTGTGGCCCCGCCCCCAGTGTGCCCGGCGTCATAACATCACTCCAGCCGCGGACCGGGAGTCCCCCGGTAAGGAGATTTTTCAACTTGGCAACCCTATAGCAGATCCTCTTTCTGAATTAGCAATGAAAGCAGAAATCTATAGTGAAATAAATCTCACCAACGTGATAAGTCTTTGTTCACATCCCAGAACCAAAATGGACCTGATCCAGACTGCTTCATTTTGGCAAAAATCTGCCCTCACAGTTCTGTTACTGGCTCTCAATTAAGATATTACCCCATTTTAAAGTCTTGTTAATTTTTTAAATGGCTACAGGTTATAGAGACCCGGGGTTTAGAATCTTAGTTTGTGCAGAGGAATAGTTGTCTGTGGATTTTCCATTCAAAGAAACTGTCTGCATGTTTATGAATTGCTCCAGAATTTGCCTTGTAAAATTGTGCATAGATCCCAAAGGAGTTTGCAGAGATGGTATCTTGTACATTTTAGCTCTAGTTTTAATTGTTTTAATGATCTTTTTGTTGGTTTTAATGGTATTTTATATGTGATTTTGTTATGCATGTTTTTAAAAATTTGTTAGTCATCTTTGTGGCCCTTATGGAAGCAGAAGGGCACGGTATAAAGTTTTAAAAATAAAAATAAAATTATTTGCTTAAGTAGCCTACCTGCACATCAGGCCTGAACATAATTTTTCTGAGCCCCATACAAATTTGTAACACAAGTATACAAAATCCCTTCCTATAGACACAATTTCATATGAAAGAAAAAATTATGTTTTATTCCTGAAATGGCATAATTAGTCCATATCATAGACTGTGAGTTTACAGCATAGGCTGGGATGTCCAGGCCCTGAAAGCATACTTATTTTTCTCCTACCCCATGCTGTCTACAGTGTGTTCTTAACCTGTGAGCTACTGTAAGGAACACAAAAGAACAAGGAGCTGAGCTGGAGACAGAGCATAGTCCCCCGCCCCATCAAGTGTCGCAAGCAGCATGGGATTCATACTCTAAAGTCTCTATTGAAATAGGTTCCGCAGGTTTTATAGTGCTTCAAAACCTATAAAAGCTGTTGGACTAAAATCATCGATACGATACGACAAAGGAGTGAAAGCGCAATCCTAAACAGAGTTAAGCCCCTCTAAGTCCACTGAAGTAAATAGGCACACGGACCTGTCTTATACTGAGTCAGACCATCAAGGTCAGTACTGTCTCTGCTTGTCAGAAGAGAAGGCCTAGATGCTTTCTCAAGCCTCAACCTCGGGGGGGGGGGGTTTGCAAACAAGTCAGTGAGACAGACTGTCGAAATGTGGGTTTTCTTCCTGTTTACTCTTCTGTCTCTGTTATTTGATGTACACTGATA